TGGCTGGACTCCCATGTAGTCGATGCAGTTCGAGTCCCGGACCCGGTGGCTTAAACTCATGCCGGGCGCATGTGCGTACGTGCCCAAGATCCTGTGAGGAGAATGGAGGAGAAGGGATTGCAGCACGGCCATCCCCCCTGGGGGGTGATTTCTCGCTTTCTGTTTGTCTCTGTCTAGTGAGCACATGTGCCCTATAGCAAAAACCTCTCAAAAAAAAAAAAAAAAGAAATTAGATAGGGCCTTTCCAGTGTTTCATTCACATGAGAAAGTTTTTATCAAGAAATTTTTTCCTCTGTCTTATCCTGGAAAAATAAGATATACAAAGTTTTACTTTTGAAGGCGGTGTCTGAGCAAGTATTTCCAAAGGACCATAAGACAGAAAGACTTACTTGGAAGTACCTCGTATGCATGGTGAACCGGCTTCTCTCCTCCCGAGTTCCATCGGTGGGCTCAGTTCTGCAGCGACGTGCCGCTGCCCAGGGCATGCGGGAGTCCCCTGAAGTGCCTTCATGCATGCCTCGTTCTTTCGATATCCTCAGAGGTGGCAAATCTTCCTCTTCCAGGCGGATTTTATTTGGGGGAACTACAAAGATCTCGTGAGGCCAGTCTCATAGCCCACTGGTCGGGAAGTCAGATCCCACATGGCGGACTGGGATCGGAATCCCTGCCCATTGCCTCACAGACGCGCCCCAGGCCCGGACAGGCTGGAGACCTAAAGAGGGGATCTGCAGACCTCTCCCCGCTCGAGGTGCCCTCACCCTGTCTCTGTCTCTGGTGAATGACTGTGCCCTCTGGCAATTACAACAAATCTCGGGGACCAGTGGGTGGTTGAGCTGGGTAATGCATCTCTGCGTTTCTGGAAGGATGTGTGTAGAACCGGAACCATTTCTCCCCTAAGTACTCTGAGGACTTTACCAGTGGAGTCTGTGCCTTTCTTTGTGGGCGCGCTTTGCGCTTTGTTTTCATTACAGGGTCCCATCATGACACCCTCTTCTCCCAGCACCCCCAGCATCTTAGGCTCCCAGCCACTCTGCATGACCCCCGCCCCCAAGCTCTAGCTGGGCTTGGGATCCGAACCAGTGAGCTGCGGTTGCCAGCGCCCCCTGCTGCACCGAGCTGGCCCCGTGGTAGTCTCATTGCGCTTGTAGATCTGGCACACTTGGGCTCTTTTTCTTCTTGAGCAAATTGGGGTGTGCCCTGGAGGGCTCTTCCGTTTGGTTCAGGACCGGGCGCTCTCCGCGTGTCCGCGGCTAGATGATCTCAGCTGCCAGCACACGCCCGCAGCTTCCTCCGCGCGCACTTCCGCTCCTCCGAACCAGCTCGATTTGGAGCGTCTCCTGTTTAGGTCTCATGGGATGGAACCAAAGCAGTGGCTGGTCCAGGGCTTGTGCTCCGGGTCGACCCCTGCGGGCTCCCGAGGCCCGGGACCTCGGTCCTCGTGCGCCGGGCTCTGGGAGCTGCGCCTTCCGATCCTGGCCGGCCGTCGGTGCTCGGGCCCTGCCGTGGGCTGTCCTGCCCAGTGGGAGCTGAAGACCGGGCGTCTCCGCGACCACAGGGGCCCGGCTCTGCGCTCTGCTCTGGCTGCCGCAGCCTACTCAGCTCCGGACTCCCAGCTCCGGGACCGCAGGGCCCTTCCTGACGCCCCGTGCTGGCCCGGACCTCTCCAGGCAGGGAGCTGGGCCGTCACAGGGCTCACTTCGCCCCCTGTCTCTCCGCAGTGTTCTCCAGGATCTTGAAAATCGTGTATTTTGCTTTTTTACTTTTTTTTTTTTTTAAGTTTGAGGTTCTTTAAAAACAACAGTTACCATATGGTAAAAGCTGCAAACATGAAATCTACCCTCTTGACACTTTAATTTTTGTTTCTCACGTTTTTGCCATGGGGCAGATGTGCTTGCCAAGGAGAGACAGAGAGGGGAAGTGAGAAATCACACCCCGGACCCCCCAGAGGGGACAGCTGTGCTGCAGTCCCTTCTCCATTCTCCCCTCCGGAGTTTGGGCACACGCGCACGCGCACCCAATGTGATTTTCAAGCTCCCAGGCCTGGGTCTTCAGCCATGTGAGAACCCAGTGCCTTAACCACCATGCCACCTGCTGGCTCCAGTTCAATTTCTAATCTTTGATGACCCTCCATTCTGTTTTTAATACAGCTTGTGCCATTTTACACTCCCACCAATACATAAGGGTTCCAATTTTTCTACATCCTCGCCAATACTTCTTACACACACACACACACACACACACACGCCACCCTAACAGATGTTGGGTGATAGTTCATTGTGGTTTTGCTTCACATTTCCCCACAGATCAGTTATGTGACCACCGTTTCAATACCTTTGGCCATATGTAGGTCTTCTTTGAAAAAATGCTACTCGAGTCTTTGGTCCACTTTTAAATGGGGATCGTTGTCACTGTCTTGCTCTGTGTTCGCCAGCGGTATTGGCCTGTCGTCTTACAGTTTCTGTTTCTGTATTTTGGACCAGGGTAATACTGGCCTCATAAGATGTATTTGAAAGTGTCTTTTCCTCTTTAGATTTTTAGAAGAGATCGGGAAGGATTAACATTAGTTCTTGAAATGCCTGGTAAAGTTCTCCAGTGGAGCCATCTGGTATTGAGCTTTTCTTCGTTGGGAGGTTTTGATTCCTGATTTGCTCTCCTTGCTAGTTACTGGTCTGTTCAGATTTTCTATTTACTCATGGTTCGGCCTTCTTCGTTCCGGTTTTTGCCATAAGGTACGTGTGTCCATTGGAGAGGAGACAGACAATGAGAGAAGTCACCCCCTGGGGGAATGGCCAGGCTGCAGCTCCTTCTCCTCCATTCTCCTCCTGGGGTCTCAGGTGCGCACACATGTACCTGGGGTCATTTTCTTTCTTTCTTTCTTTTTTGGAGAGGTTTTTGCTATAGGGCATGTGCGCTCGCCAGACAGACAGACAGAGAGACAGAAAGCCAGAAATTGCCCACTGGGAGGATGGCCACGCCACAATCCCTTCTCCTCCATTCTCCTCTTGGGATCTTGGGCACGCACGCACACGCACCTGGCATGAGTTTAAGCCACCAGGTCCGGGACTCGAATCACGGTCGACTACGTGGTAGTCCAGCAACATAGCCATTATGCTAACTGCTGGTCCCCTGGGATCATTTTCAAGTCACCAGGTGTGAGACTTGAACTGTGGTTGGCCATGTTGGAATCCAGTACCTTAGCCACTATGGCACCTGCTGGCCCCCAGGATCCAGTCTTCTTTATGTATTTATTTACACTTAATCACGTATCTCTTTACAGTGTATGTTTCTTTTTCCAGCACAAGTACCAAGCATATTAGTCAAGACAAAGATACTACTATATACATTATCAGCAGCAAATAACTTCTCATTTTTTTGTCAATTAAATGTACTTTTACTTTTTTTCTTCCCCTCTCCCCTCCCTCCTTCCCATACTAAACTTTTTTTCATCTTTTACTGATTCAAAAAAGATCTTAATTAAACTAGAAATATGTACAAAGCTAAACTCTAGTGACACAGGCACTGTAACTTTCTTCTGAAACATTTCTCTCTCTCCATTTCCCCTTTTACTAGAGAGGTATAAACTCACTGATTTGCAAAAAACCATAAGTTTAGTCTCAATTTGGTTCGTTATTTGCACCAAGCCCCGTAAGAATTCAATTTCTGATGCAAGGCAATAGATATTATTGTATTATTGACCTTATGCAGGCAGCCATTCTGCCATCAAATGAGAATGCTCACAGATATTTTCCATTTGCAGAGGGGTCAGGAAGGGAAGAAAGCTTATGTTTCAGTTATAAAATAATTGACAAGTTGCTGAACCTATAACAACTCAGAAGAAAATAAAAATCCTTAAATCTGGAAGACAAATCATAGAAGAAAATCAGTAATGTTTTAGTCAAAAGTCATGGAATTCTATTTCCCCAGTTCCGTCTCATGTAGTTAATCTCTCTGTGTTACTGTGGTCTGATCTGCCCATTTAAATTCTGGATGTTAACATTCAACGTTGTTACTGGTATTTCTGGACTCGTCCTTGCCATTAATTTGGCCACTTTATTGGTCATTTTTTGCTCTGTTATTTCTGTCTGCCTGTCTTTAGTTTCCCTGGTAAAACACTCCCTTCAGAACTTCTTAAAGAGCTAGCTGGTCTGGTGTTGGTAAGTTCTTTCAGGTTTTGTTTATCTGAGAATGTTTTGGGCTTTTCTTCCCATATGAAAGATAATCTTGCTGGACATAGTATTCTTGGTTAAAATTGTTTTTCAGTTAACACTTTGAATCTATTTTCCCATTCTTTCCTTGCTCGCATTGTTTCTGATGAAAGATCGGATGTTAACCTGATGGGATATCCTTTGAAAGTAACTTGACTTTTCTGTCTTACCAATTTTAGTATCTTGTCTCTGTCTGTGGTTTTGGTCAATCTGGCTGTGATGTGCCTTGGAGAAGACCTTCTTGGGTTGATTTTATGTGGGGTCCTTTGTAGTTCTTGGGTCTGGATATTTGAATGCCTCTCTAGGTTTGGTAAGTTTTCTTCTAGCATTTTGTGGAATAGATTATCAGTGCCCTTATTAGTTTCTTCACCTTCTGGAATACTAATTATCTGGATGTTTGGGGGTCTAATAGTATCTAGTATTACTTATATATTATTCTCATTTGGGGGGTTATTTTTGGTGAATTTTTCTAGGTCAGAGGTTCTGTTTTCTACATCTGAATTCTATCTTCTTCATGACCTAATCTGCTTTAATACTTCCAAGGGCGGTTTTGATGACCTATATTCATGTTACAGCCTTCATCTCTAACAGTTCTGTTTGATTCTTATTTATGGTGTGTATTTCCTCTTTCAGTTCAAGCAAGAACTTTCTCACTGCTTAGAAATCGTAGGCTCTTTTCCACTGTGTCTTCTGGAGTTAATTGTCTCTCTCCTCTTGCATCTCTGTTAGCTTTGTCACTGAATATTCTAAACTCTTTACCTGACATTTCCACACATTCCTTTGTACTGTCTGTGGCTGATGTAGGGCTGTTTTTTCCCATGGGGGAGAGATACTTTCTTGGTTTCTCATATTTCTTGTGCCTCTGCAGTGGTTTCTGGTCACCTGATGGCTTATACAGTTCTTCCTACTTTCTTGGAGTTAATTCTGGGTGTTAGAGGTGTGCAGGAGGAGGTGACCTGCATTATCTCTGCAGTTCCATTTCCCCGATGCTCACCAAGCAAACTGCACTTTTGTCCATGGAACTTTTTTTGGCAACTGTAAGCTCATATGCTTCACTTTACTGTGAGGTACTTCTATGCCCATTTCTCTTCTACTACTATGCTTTGCAACATGGTACCCACAGAAAGAGATTTGAGTTTACATTTATGAAGATGAGTTTCTCCTTTCTATAGCAATTGAGTGGGGGCTGAGGTTTTCTATGACCCTCACTAGGTGTTGGGCTGGAAGGAGAGGTTGGAGCCGAGGCTCTTCAGTTAAAGGAGCAGGGCCAGACCCACCTCAGAGATAGATGAATTCTCACTAGGTGTTGGGCAGCTATGTGTCCTTGGCAAGATATTTAGACCCCACAAGTCTCAGAGTCTTCATCTGCATAAGAGACCAGCTGGGCCCAACTGTCACTTCCACTGTGGTCATAGCCTCTGGAGCTGCCACAATGTCCAGCAGCCACCAAAGAAGAATGCTGCTGCTTCTACTCAGCGTCAACAAAATGTGACCTAGGTCAATTCAGTCTTGATAAGCTGTAAGTTTCTAAGAATTTATCCACTTCTTGGTTATCTATTTGTTGGCTTGTGACTTTTCATAATAGTCCTTTATATTTTGTTCTTAAGGTGGTGTGTGTGTGTGTGTGTGTGTGTGTGTGAGTGAGAGGGGGAGTAAGTGTGGGTTTTGTTACACAAATGACCAGGCACAGAAGTCCCATCCTGACTGAGTCTTAGATCTTGCTCCTTAACACTCACAGGGTTTCTGCAGTTCACGGTTGTCCACTGGGGTGTATGCGGTGCTCCAGCACTCTCCTATCGCTGGGTGTTTAGACTGTGTCCTCTGTTTTGCATTTACTAACAGTGTTGAGTGAACAACCCCATACATCTATATACTTGTTGGAAGTTCAGAAATCCTGGCTCAGCTGGAGAATTCCCGTCCCAACTAGATAACGCAGAAGTCTGCTCCAAGTGTCACTAACACAGAGGCGCAAGGCCTCAGCACTCTGCCTCTTTCTGTAAGGCCGCTGATCCCATTCCTGTCGGTTCTGCCCTGATGACCTAATTACCTCCCAGAGGTCTCGCCACCAATAGCATCACCTTGGGGATTAAGGCTTTAAAACCTGAATTTTGGGGAACACAAACATTTAGCCCATGGCACTGAGGGTTGTTTTCAAGGATTCCAGTTTTATGCATGGGTCTCAATTCCTGTCTCTTACTTTGTATATACCAAGACCTCTTCCCTGTTAGCACAAATCCACAGTTGTAACACTTACCTGCAGACCTTCTTAAAGACTGCCATGGGTGCTTTCCAAATTAATTCTTCTTTTTGAAAAAATCACCACCTTTTTTCTGACAGCAGGGACGTTTCTTCTTTTTATCGTAAGTTCAGTCATACATTTAAAAATATTTCTACAGATTTGACTTGGTTGTGTGGAGAGGCAGGATTTCCCTGTTAATGAAGCTAATGACCTGCAAGATCATGTACATACCCACTGCTAGAGATGCTCCCCGCCGACCTCTGCAGGGGGTTAGCTGCAGAGAACGCCCGGAGCGACCCGCAAGTGCTTCGCCTGATTCAGGGCAGCTTTGGCACATGGAGCATTTAGTTCTCACCTCAAAGAAACTTTCCATATCCAAAATTTGAAAAATCACCAATTTAAGAAAGAAAATGGGGGCCAGCAGGTGGTTTGGTGGTTAAAGTGCTAGCCCCCCCCCCCATGGCCAGCCCCCAGCCGAGTTCCGGATTTAGTGGCTTAAAAAATCATACCAGGTGTGTGTGAATGTGTACCCAAAATCCCGAGAGGAGAGAGGAGACGGGGTTGCAGTATGGCCACCCCCCGGAGGCAATTTCTCACTTTCCTCTCTCTGGCGAGTGCACACGCCCTATGGCAAAAACCTGAATAACAAAACAAAGGTGGGAGGGAGTCTGTGCAGTTCTTGAAATGTACCTTTTATTTAAAATATAATGTTAATTTTACATAATTGTCTCATTTTTTATTATATGCATTTTAGGCAATAATTTTAAAGAGAAATAAAATTCAAAGATTGGGAACATCTGAACTCAACTTTTGGGTAAGATTCAATGTTTTTAATACAGCTTCTTTATAGTCTACTTTTTATTTATATAAATGGAATACAGATAATATAGTTTAAAACTCTAATGATTTATATTTAATGAAATTTATAAATAGCTACTGAGGTAGGAAACAGCCCTTAGCAAAGACTGAAAATTATTTTCAGGAAATTAGCTCGTTTGTTTTGGCACTGTTCTGAGACCATTCCATGCTTTATTTTTCATTCTGTGTATCCATACAACCTTGCTTCTTAAATGTCTTTAGAGTTCTGTTCAGTTTTTCTCTTCAGTTTCATTAGCTTTCTCTTCAAAATAGCTCATTCTGTCGTCCCCCCAGCTCTCATCCTGTCCTCCGCACCACTGTGGTTGGCCTCCTCACTCTGCGTCTGACTTTCAGCATTTCCCCAGCACTCCTCACTTCCTCCTGCCCCACCTAGTTCCTGCGGGGCTTCGTCCCGAATATGCAGACTGCTCGCACCTGACCTCTGCCTTTGTGTATTGTTGAGTCCGCTCTGTAACTGTGGAGCCCTGACATCAGAGCAGGGAATGGCATTCTTTTGCCCTGGGTCTCCCATGTAACCTCACCATAGAATGAGATCAGTCCCATTGAAGACCTATGTGTCTAGGGGTCACACACGGGAGGGTGACGCTGGAGGTGCGATGGGAGGAGAAGGGATTGTGGTGTGGCCATCCCCCCTGGGGGGTGATTTCTCGCTTTCTGTCTCTTTGTCTCTCTCTGTCTTTCTGGCGAGCACACACGCCTTATAGCAAAAACCTCTCCAAAAAAAAGAAAAAGAAAAGAAAAATGATGGTAGATCAAACAGTGCCTATGGGCAGGTAGGGAATTCTGCCAGAGTTATACTCAGAGGAAAATCTATTGTCTTAAACTCTATTTTGTATTATATTTTCAGCAGTAGACTGCAAAGAATTAGTTAATATTTCTATTAAAGAATATCAATTCAAGGAAAGAATCTAAGGAGAGAAAAGTGGAAATAGCCAACATCTTTATTACTTTGTTTTATTTAGTTATTTACTTATTTTAGAGGTTTTTGCCTTAGGGTGTGTGTGCTTGCTGGAGAGAGAGAGAGAAACAGAGACAGTAAGAGGGAAAGTGAGAAATCACCCCCCAGAGGGATGCTATGCTGCAATCCCTCTCCTCCATGCTCCTCTCAGGATTGTGGGCATGCATGCACACGTGCCTGGTGTGATTCTCAAGCCACCAGGTCCGGGACTTGAACCATGGTCAGCCATGTG